GACAGTTCACATCTGTTCAAATGCTTGAACGACTTCTGATGCAGTCTATAGTTCTGCACCCTAGCCATGGAAAAGATGGCCGAGCCTGTTTTCATGGCAGCATTATAAATCCGTCCGTTGGTATGTTGTACTCTACGAAACCTACCGCTTATTAGACATTTAAGACGGAGTTGAACACTTCTGCAAAAGTTAATTTCCCTAAAGGAAAAGGGACTTTTCTTGAGTGGCTTCTATGTGTTAGACCCAGTACTGAAAAACGTTATGTCCGTTACTGCTTTAATCCTCGGGAAACCAGGTGCGGTAGGTAGATGAGGGAACAGAGGCTCAGATAAGCCCCCCAAAAAGCGCCTGAGGTCACACAGTTTAGTAAACAACAATGGAATTGAGGCCTGTGCTCTTTCTGGTAATGGATTGGCCTGGATTATTCTAGATGGAGATAACACAAAATTATTTAATTTGTGAGGAGGGGCATATAGCCTTCCTTATATTTTAAGCCTTTGGAAGAGAAAAGCAGGCAATTGAGTCAGCCAGTGCAGGGTGATTCTTTTTTAATTTTTAGAAAAGTTCTGTACGGGCGGCATCGGCCTTTGGGTCATATGTAAGAATTGGGCCTGGAGGCAGGGTAGGTCTGGAAGGCAGAGGTCATCCTGTTGGAAAACTTTTTCAAGTGAGCTAATTTGCAAAGGGGGCCAACTTTCACTGGACAGGGTGCTTGCTGTGAGGGTGCTCGAGCACCAGCCTCGACCTGTGGGTGCTGACAAGTTGAGGGCTGGTGCCAGGCCCAAGGCCTTCTCTGCTGGACTAGCTGGCTTTGAGCACCTCTGGTCTGCTCACAGCTCTGTCCTGTCCCTTGGTGAACATGTGAAGAGGTCAGGAGACTTTCCTTAAACAGCTTCTTGAACCCAGAGAACCTGCATGAAACTTTTATCAGGGTCCAGGAGGTAAGTGGGCTCCATGTGGTAGGGGACTGTGACTTCCACTTAGCCCTAGTCGACAGAGGATGTTGGAGGACATGAATGGACATCCGTGTTCTAAAACTCAGGTTCCAAGCCCTGGTCGGTATCTCTTAAGCTTTCCTGAAGAGGGAGTGAAAGGGTCATTGTCCGCGGCCTGGCTGCTATCTGAGATGTGACTTGAACTGGGTTAAGGAACCCACCCTGCTCACTTCTCTGACAGTGACATGGAGAAGTAGGTGGTTTTTATTTCAGAAACTTCTCATCCATTCTGCATTTTTCTGGGGTCAGTTGTCTTTCGTTGATTAATGGTAGCCACCTGCATGGGGGTCCTTCGAGGTCCGTCCTGAGACTCGGGAGCCTGAGCCATTTGGGAATTCGGGCTGCTGTGACATCTGAACCTCATCTCTTGTGAGTCCCTGTTTAAAAGAGGAAAATAAAAGCTAACAGTAGTGTTAGAGTTTAATATTAAAGATAAAACACTGCATAGAGAAAAGAATTTTAAGTACATCCGATCCACTTAAAATAAGGACTTTTTAAACGGTAACAGTGAATTCTTGTAGAAGACCCAGTTCCCTAGCATTGAGAGTGTGGAGCTGGAGCTGATCCGCCTCAGGCAGCCCCCTGGGTTTCCAGCAAGAACCAGATTAGCAGAAGTCCAGACTCCTTAAAAGGCGAACTAATGATACCTTATGAGGAGCTGAGAAATAAAAACGTTCCTTTTCTTTATTAATCCAGTAGTTTCATTCCAGGAAATAAGAGGAAGCTATATGCTAAAGTGTAATCTCACCACTAAAGATTATCTAGCTATTAAAATATCTGTAAAGATTCTTTAAGTGGAGGTGCAAAAAGGCAGAGAATTAATGCTGTCAGCTGTGCGGTCCCTGCTAAACCAGTGTGAAGAAAAGATGAGTCTTCCACAGACGACGTTAGAGACCCGGGTGTTCAGAGCCCAATTTAGTGTGACTCCCCACCCCACCCCCGCCCCAAGCCCTTGCATTTCAGCTGCCACCTGAAAAACTGTTTATCCTATATTGTTGAAAGGGCAATAGGTAACATTTTTAGGAATATTTTCACATGAAGTAAATGAAGATATTAATGTGTGCATTTAGAGTACGTAAAAATGAGTGCGTTCACATTTCCCATTTCTGAGCCATGTCTTTGCCTCCCTATGTTTGTGAAATGTGATTTGTAATAAGAAAGAAAACAGTGATGAAATAGTTTTTTACTAAGAATTTCATTTACATCACATGAGAAGTGCTTCCCCAGATTTTCTGTCCCCCGCATGATTTGTACAGGTTGGACGAGTTATGCTGAGTGGAGTCTCTGTCCCTGTGCTGTATTTAACGTAACCTTAGTCGCTGGAGCTTCCTTAGTTTCACCAGCGGGATGGGTGGGAACTTTTCACACTGCTGCAGCTCAGCTGCCCCCGGGCTGGCAGCCGCTGTGAGATGTGGTCCCAGCCTCAGAGAGGTTTTAATGTGGGAGGATGAGTTTAGAATCCATGCAAACTTCTACGTTTTCTGTTTGTAATGAAGTGGAGTTGCTCCAGCGAGCGTAGAGGAAAGATTGGATTCTAAAACTTAAACACTAAAAAGGTAACACTAAACTCTGAGGTCTCATCTTTGGAAATGGGGTTGGAACCTGTAAGTTAGCAGTATATAGTAAGTATAATAGGGTTTTTAAAGGCTTTTTTCTTTTTTTTTTTTTTTTTTTTAATTAAAAAACATCAGTGAATATCTTCTGAGCCTTTGGGGGTTTTTGTGTATAGGAAAGAGGTCGATGATGAGTAGTAAAAGGGCTGAGTCCCCAGGTCCCCTCCCAGATCCTCACCATCCCCGGCAGCCTCGCTCCCATCAGGCTCCAGTAGTGCCATGATGGGCACAAGGACAGCTGACACTCGGTGATGTCTCCAGTCTGTGTTCCCTGGTGAGCCCAGGGAGGACGTGAGGTTGGCATCCAACAGCCAGTCAGGAAGGGGTGTGATTGCTGGGAGTGCTGGGACCTGTGGTTATGATCTGGCTTTCAAGCTGAGACCTCTGATGAAAAACCCCCAGGGGTTTTAATTGTTTGTCTAAAGAGGCCTGATGTTCCCTTCTGTAAATTCTGTCCCAGCGAACCTGTCTGTCCTGACTTTAAATAGGGAACTGACTTCGAGGCGCTGGATAAAATCTAGGCTTTTAAAATTTTGTAATTTGATAAATCCACTTAGAAAAAAGATGAGAGAACAGTACAGGAAGTATCGGTAAGGGAACCTGTCTCAAAAAGGTCCTCCAACTGCCCCCCCTTTTTTTGAGGATGGAGGCACCCGAAGTTTGGACTGGTGATGTTGGGTGGTTTTTTAGTGTTGGGGGGAGGGATTTATTCTGTTCCTCTTCACCTCGCCTCTGCAGCTCCCGTAGACAGGCTTTCCGGGCGGTTAGAGCTGCTCATCCTTCCGGCTGAGCATCCTGAGCAGCTCTGGGCTGCTTGGGGAGGCTGGCGCCCATGCTCACCTGGCTGTGTTTTCTCTCCTAGCACACACTCACGGGCCACAGCGGCAAAGTGCTGTCTGCCAAGTTCCTGCTGGACAACGCGCGCATTGTTTCCGGAAGTCACGACCGGACCCTCAAGCTCTGGGATCTGCGCAGCAAAGTCTGTGAGGACATTCAGTCTCTCCATGTGTGTGTGTGCTTAGACGCTAACCACCTTTCGTGTGACACAGTATGAATTTTAAGTCATTTCACACTCAGAGAGGCGCCAAGGTAGTGGCCGTTAACATGGTCCAGGCTTTGTTTAAATGAGTAGTTTGGGCTACGCGGGGCCCGAGGCAGCGATGTTGTGTGGACAGCCTGGAGGGGCCCCTGCTCGGGTACTGATGTTTGGTTTTCTTTCAGGCATAAAGACAGTGTTTGCAGGATCCAGCTGCAATGACATTGTCTGCACGGAGCAGTGTGTAATGAGTGGACATTTCGACAAGAAAATTCGTTTCTGGGACATCCGGTATAATACCCAAGAGTTGGTGGGGAGGCAGATGAGAGGGTCTCTCCTTGGTAGAGCTGTGGCCATATGTATACGGGTTGTGTTTTTTAAATCCCTGGAAATGACAGAAATGAGCTGCAGTCCACATTTACTTTAACAGTTTGATATTCTTTAGCATGAAGTAGACAGTTGGCGTTCAGCAATCACGAGCATGCGCTGTGTGTTTGCTAGGTGCTTTACTAGCTGCTGGGGAACCAAGATGAACAAGTAGGCAGGTGGAGAGTGTAAATGTAATAGGTGGGCTGGACACACAGTCTGCCCAGTGCCTGACGTGGAGCCCTGCAGCTTCGTCCGAGGGTGTGAGACAATGCCTCAGACACTCTGAGCGCTAAGCAGGCTTCACGTTGCAGAAAAGCCACTGAGAGGCATGGCAGACCAGACCGCAGGGCAGCCAGGTGTGTCCGAAACAGGGCAAAGCGGGTCATAGGCAGATGAGACTAACAGGGTGGGTTGGGATCACATTGCCACGAGCTTTATATGCCATCTGTAGGTGAATTGATCTTACAAACCACTGGGTGTTTAGCGAAGGATTGCTCCATGAGAGCCTGGTAGATTCCGTTGGTGGCAGTTGTAGAGGACATATCGGGGAGCAGGGAAATCAGTAAAGAGTTGCTGAGGATCTGAGCTCACAGCAGTAGAGGCGAGGTCCGGAAGGAGGGAATCCATTTAGGGAGCATTCGGACAGGACTTGTTGAGAGGTCGGATGTGGAGGGTGAGGAAGGGGAAAATTAAAGCCAGACAGAATAAGTGACAGATTTAGGAAGAAGGCCCAGAGAATGTGTTTGGGTAAGTTCATTAGTCTGTGGTTTCTGATAGACGTTTGTAAAAACAGGAGCAGAGGTTCTGAGAGAGGTTGGGAGTCCTCACGGGAGGACGGAGACAGTGTGAGAATGGGTTGCCCAGCACCAGCACGTGAAGCAGGTGAGGACAGCATTCAGGGAGCTGCCCGAGGAGGAGTGGCCAAAAGCGGCAGGAGTGCTGGACAGTCCTGTTGAGGGGCCAGGGTTGAGAGGAAGTGGAGGGGCCGGTCGACAGCAGGAGGAGCCCAAAGGATGAGGCTGGTTTGCTAGGTAGGTGGCGAACTGACTGAGTGACGGGCAGCTGAGGCAGAAGCCCAGTCACTGAGCAGTTGTGGACAGAGTGGGGAGTGACGAGCCAGGGTTCTAGGTGATGCTTAGAAAGGCCTAGCATGAAGCTTGTGGCTCCTAGGCCCAATCTTCAGTTAGCTTTTTTAACCTGAAACATGGAATTTGAGAGTTAGACTGGATGTTCGGAGTCTCCTGGTCCACCCCTGATTTGACAGATGAAGACCCTGAGTCCTAAGGAAGTGGAGTGGCTTGCCTTCAGCCACAGACTTAAAATCACTCGGTTATACTCTTCCTTAGTGACGTGTGAGGTAGGAAGTCATTTCCTTGAAAGCTTACAGCGAAACGACTGCAGACGGGCTGTGTCGCCAAGAGGGCCCTGCGCCGTTTGCTGGTCATGGACCTGGGGGAGGACCACGGCCTCCAAGGGAGAGTCGGGGGAGTAAAGGGAAGAGGGAAGAAGAGGGAGTCACGGAGTGTGGCGACTGCCCTGGAGTCCCAGCTCCACGTCTAGCATCACCAGGGGAGTCGGAGGGCCCTCGAGCTGAGCTTGGAATGGCAGGAGGCCTGTGAGAAACACTCATTTGTCCGTACAAGGCCGCCCAGGCCCACCGAAGTGTGTGTGCCTTTGGTTAGTGGCAGTGATATAATTGAAATACTATTAGTTGGCTGTATCCCCGGTTAGGTTAGCACATGATCAGAAACTCTGATTGGCAATTATTGTATCATTCCAAAAAGGAGTGATAAAATTAATTCCTCCTAAGAGTTGTAGTGGTCAGAACTATTACCATAGACCCTATTGACAGGAAAATGATAGAAGCAGTCACAGGTCGTTTCTGTGGTTGGGAGCACACTCCCTGCTCTTGGCGTTGCGTTCTCATCGAGTTGCCATTTCCACCTTCTCTTCTCCCCGGCACAGCGTTCTGGTGGAAGCGGGGGGCGTTCCGGCATGTCTGTGCCACGTTCTCAGACTTCCGTTACTTCTGTAGATCGGAGACTATCGTCCGAGAGATGGAGCTGTTGGGAAAGATCACTGCCCTGGACTTAAACCCGGAAAGAACCGAACTCCTAAGCTGCTCGCGGGACGACCTGCTGAAAATTATCGATCTCCGAGTAAATGCTGTCAGACAGACGTTTAGGTAACGGAAGACACGCCGGGCTGGGGTTCATTTGAGTTGCCGGTTTTCTGAGGATTTGCGTGAAGACCGGCCCGACCCTGCCCTCAGATCCTGAGATCTGTGAGCGCTCGGGGTGACAGTGCCCTGTTGTCTGTTTCAGCGCGTCTGGGTTCAAGTGCGGCTCCGACTGGACGAGAGTTGTGTTCAGGTTGGTGGCGATGCTCCTTCTGCCCTGTCTCACCCCCCAGCTCAGTTCATCTCAGAGGTTAGAACAAGGGCACTTGCCCATTGGGAAAATGAGCCAGATTTATGCAGCGTCCCAACCTGAGTCCAGGAGGGAACCTGTAAGTTTAGTTCCAGAGGTCACTGTCTCCTTCCTTCCTAGTGTCCTTTTGCGATTATAGGACAGTAAGTGTGTTGTACCAAAATACAGCGTTTGCTGGCTGGCCAGTTCTGGGCACAGCAGCTACCCCTCTCTGCACGTGTTTACATAGGGACTGTTCTAGAGCTCTGAGGGGAGGGTGGGACGGTCCCCTGGAGCAGAGCGGAGCAGGCTCTCGGGAGAAGAGCGGCTTTGCTCCTGGTCCCCCTGCTCCGAGCGTGGCGCGTCTCCCACGCGCTCCCTGGTCGGGTCTGGTACCGCGGCGACAGTTTCCCCTTTCTTTCCTTTTCTGCTGTCACTGAACCGTGTAACCAGGCAGCCATCTGTTAAAAGAAACCCGTAGCCATTTGGGGGTTGACTGGATCTCCCTGTGTACTGTGTTTGAGTCTGAGAGAGAGTTAGGGACTTGTGGCCCCAAGGAGTAACGTGGTGGCACCATTATTCCTTGGGTGGGTGAGGCCAAGATCACAGGGCGAAGCAGCTTTCGTCGGAACGGTTGTGAATGGCGCACCCTGGTTTCTGGGCGTATGGGCACGGTCACACGTTGGACTCATAAAGGACGAATGGTACTCCTTGGGAAGAGGCGCGGATGCTGAAGTGGGGCGGGCGGTTGATGGCCTCTCTTGTCTTCTGCGTTCCAGCCCTGATGGCAGTTACGTGGCGGCAGGCTCGGCTGAGGGCTCCCTCTACGTCTGGAGTGTGCTCTCAGGAAAGGTGGAGAAGGTGCTTTCGAAGCAGCACGGGTAAGATGCGCCCCGTGAGCCCCTCGGGTTGTGAGTGCGTCCTGCGACTTCACCCCAGGGGTCATGTCCTCTTCAGGCAGGGACCCGAGTTGGCCCCACGAGGGCAGTGTCCACTCACGTGCTCTGCTGTGAGCCAGGTTAGCGGAGAGAAGCTGTCGCACAGTACAACAGACGGCAGTGTGCTGGTGGTTTATGTTTCAGAACATTCCATGTAGAGCGAGTGAGTAGTGGCTGTTGGAGAAGGGGTTAGAGAAACGTTCTCTCGTCTTCCCGAGGCTCCTCTTTTTCTTAGCTTTGTTCTGGCCGCCCCAGCCCAGCTGCTAGTTCGAATACAAACCCAGTTTCTCCGTCCCCAGCTCTCTGCCTCAAGAGCAGTGACAATATTTCTGCTCCTCAGTCAGTGGTCCTGAGGCACTTGTCAGAGTCATGTGACGTTACTGTCTTAATTCTCTCAGAGCTGTTCTTTAGGGTACACTTGGTAAGGCCTGACTCCTTCCGTTTTAAAACTGCTTCCGGAAATCGATGCAGGGCTCCTCGGAGCTCACGAGGGCCTGCCCGCGAGTGGGGGCGCGCTGGCAAGGGAAGCCCACCTCCCTGAGCTCCAGGGGCCCGAGCGAAGCTCGCTGGGGTCTCACTGGCCTTCCCACCTCTCTTTTGAAGCTCGCCCGTCAACGCGGTGGCATGGGCCCCCTCTGGCTCCCACGTCGTCAGTGTGGACAAAGGCAGCAGAGCTGTGCTATGGTCAGAGTACTGACGTCACCTCGAGAGCGGAGCCGACGCCGAAGAAGCACCGGGCCCGCAGCTCTGTGCCTGCAGGTGGTGGCGTGTTGGCTGGTGGCGTCAGCCGTGCGGCACGGTGGCCCGCCTTTGAACAGGACTTCTAAGGTCTTGGGCTGAGGTTTCTGACGACACTGAATAAGATGGGGCGCTGTGGTCCCTTAGCAGGCGTTCCGCGTCTTGCCTCAGTTCTGGTGGGAAACTGCTGGCCCTGAGCGTCCCACCCCGGCGGGGAGCACAGGCCACCGGGTGCCTCTCGGGGCGGCAGCGCCAAAACCAGCTGCGCACCTGGGCTTGGTTCTCCCTCTGCTCCTCCGTCCTCCTCCCAAAGTCGGTTCTGGCCTGATGCGTGCCCCGTCAGCTTGGGTCATTTTCCCGGTGAACTCGCTTTAATCTTTAGATCACCAGAAACCAGAGCAAGGTTACCCCGTCCTCAGGTAGCCCAGGGACTCGCTGGTTTCCAGGGAGTCGTGGGACTGCGGTCCCCCGCTCGTTTCGTCTCTCCCTCGAGGCTCCTTCCGATCTCAGCTGATAACGGTTGGGATGCTCTTAGATCTCCTACGCTGCTCTTGGGAAGCAGCTGGTCCTCAGAGCTTGTCTGTCTCTTGGTCAAGCAATCAATCTCAATTTGGTTAAAAAAATATTTTCTTGAGAGGAACTGCAAAAACTTTTTTCCAAGGAAGTGGGTGTGCTGCAGGAGTAGGGAACGTGTTCCTGTCCCCATCTGTCAGTTCCCGGAAAGCGGGCACGTGCCACATTCTTTCCAGGTGCGTTTAAGTGACAGTTGCTGGTGACGGGATTGGAGGGCTGGAATGTATCACTCTGGAGCCAGCTGCTCCAGGTCGCACTGCCCCTGTGCCAAGCCTATGTGCAATACCCCCTTGGAGCTTCAGCGCAGGAAGCCCATTCCAGGAGGCGGGGGTGTCGCCTTCGACTTCAGGAGCTGTGATTGAGGCCGTGGAAAAACTGGCCTGTGACATTTTTTTTTTAAATTTATCTTTCCCATTTTTCCTGTGTATGAAATTTTAGTTCCTTGAGCGAAACACCAATATTTTGATCACTTTAATTTGCACTTTATTTTCTTCCATACTTGCCCTCTGGACAGGGGTGGGCGTGAGTGCTGGGGCCAGGCAAGGGGGGATGTGCACCCCTCCTCTGAGGGGCCTCGGCTCCGGCTCCTTCCTGCCCCGCCCACCCTCCTCTTTCTGTGAGTTGTTCAGAAGACGCAAGTTGAGGGGGGGTTGAAATTCACAGCCAGGCCACATCTTTTATTTATTTAACTGTGTTGCCCAACAGAACTTGATTGTAAATAAAAAAGAAATATTATATACTTTTCAAACTCCGTGTTACTTCGTGGTTCTTTAATTTCCTTTTATCCATAAGGGAGGATAAAAGCTCTTTCCTTGATTTTCTGGTATTTATTCATTTATAAGTTACGGCTGATACTTTCCCGGTTTTTTCCTTATCGTTCATCACCTAAGCCTAAGTTACCAGTGCCTGTAAACATCAACATTCTCCTTTCCCGTCATTTCCAAATCTTAACTGAAACCAGAACAGTCTCCTCGGAACTCCAGCAGCTGTACCTGAGCCCCCAGGGAGGGGTCCTCCTGCTGTCGGCTCCACGTGCAGGGGTACTCCCAGCCCCTGCCCAGGGGCCTGTCCACACGACTGATGACAAACTGCTCATGTCTCCTCTGACGGGGCGTGAATTACCTCACTGAGGAGTGATTTATTCATGGCCACCCTGATATCTAGCAAGCAGCCTTGTGCTGTTAAATTATGATCTCCCAGAATCCCCCAAAAGACCAGGCCCACTACCACACTGTGTTTACTAAGGGGTGGCCAAACATTGCTCAGCCCAGCAGCTCGAGCCAAGAGTCCATCGTGATCGGAAGTCTCAGAGGCCACCAGCATGCTCCAGAAAGCTAAAGGAGCCTTTTGCAAGTCACCTTCCAGGAGGTGAGTCATTCTTAGAGGGGGCTGGAAGTAAGCAGTAGCCGCTGATGATCCCGTTTTCTTTCAACTTGGAAAGGTTTCAGTTTGAGATCCACCCACACTGGAAAGCTCTTCAGATCACCTGACTGCCGCGGTTGAGCTGATGGTGTGGACTGACACTGCGGTGGACTGTGACTTCCGTCCAACTCCTGGTCTTCACCTTCCCATCCGGGACCCTAGCCCAGTGCTGCTGGTTCCATTGGGGTGGGGGAAGGCGGGCATAGGAGTTTTTTAACTTCCCAGATGTTTCCTGGGTGGTTATAGTTAATGTGTTGCCTCATACGTGTGGTCAGCTTTGATCCAGACATTAACATAGCTCAGAAACTGAGAATTGAAAAACATCTTTTTAATCAACTTACATTTCCTAGGTCGTTTCCCAAAATAGTGTAATCAGTCCAGCTGATGCCTTGTTCTCAAAACACAGACTGCGCAGCAGCCTTTCTCCTGCGAGTGCTCTAAAGCCCCTCTGATCTTTCGGATCCCACACAGGAAGTTCTGTGTGGACACAGGTAAACAGAGGAAGCTGCTCTCAGCCAGGAGGGCCCAGCCCAAGCCCCGAGGCAGGTGGGTTGGGAAGTTCCAGGTTGCAGGGTGTACCAAGGTGTGCAGAGCTACCTGGCGGCAGGGCAGGAGAGACCAGAAGAGCGTTCACGATAAAGCAGTGTACACAGACTGTGTGCGAGGCTGCAGAAACCAAGCATTTCTGTTTTTATAAGTTGCCTTAGAGGGAGATAAGGAGCCTTTGGCTCTCAAATTCTGTAAGATCTGAATTGTATCCCATTTCACGAGTATGGGACTATTTCACAGCTAAGCAAGAAGCCGTCCTAGGTGCTGACCCCTCTGAGGTGGGGGGTGGCCCCCACCTCAGATCCAGGGGCTGCTGCCCCTCCAGAGCCCCGTCTGAGGCGTGATGCCTTGGGCCCCCTGTGGGGTGTGGGGAGGGAGAGCTGGCCACGGTAATGCCTTTACTCCACTGCGTGTGTCCCCTATGTTCTGTAATAAGTCCCAGGCACACTAGGAAGCCCAAATTTTCAAGCCATTAAACTGTGGAAATGTTGAGGAAAGGGAAAGATGTTTGCGTTTGCGTATATCCGTAAACACACACAGGATACGTGGTACATGCCAGTAAAAGATCAGACTCTGATCCGGAAAACGCATCTCGCCTGCCTCACCTCAGCAGAGTCTGATTCTCTTAGCTCAGGGAGCTCTGGCTTCTGCAGCACAGATGGCCCCACTGGCTTCCTCCCAGGCCCCCGGACCCACCCCGGTGTCCATTCCAGGTACTGCCCCCACCTGCATGCTCGCCACGCTGTGCCCCTCAAATCCCCGCACGCTCTTCGGTGGTTCCTGCCCAGGGCCACACGGCCCTCACTGCTCTGCCCCAACTGCCTGGCCGGCCCAGTGAGTGTCCACGTCCAGCTGGGCCCAGAACCTGAAGAAGCAGAGGAAGCACGAGTAGAGGCAGCCCCACGTCCCCACCTGCCACTCAGCAGTTTCGCCAGAGTGTTTTATGGCACACTGCAAGCATGTCATTTTCCTCATAAGTCAGCACGCATCCCTGGAGAGTTCAGTCGGTGAAACCCCAGACTCTTAAAGCAAACCGATAAGGACACCGTGCCATCCTTCCACCTCCTAGAATCAACAGTACCTCGATGTCATTCACTATCCAGTTTAAATTTTTCTATTTACTATTTTTTTTATGATTGGCTTGTTCGCATTGGGATACAATTAGCTTTAGCTGTATAACTACCTTAAGGTGTAATGGCTTAAAACAACCATTCTGAGGATTCTGCGAGCGGGCTGGGCTGGCCAGGCTCCAGCTGAAGCGAGGGCGAGGGGGGGCGGGTCTCACATCTGGCTGTTGATGTGCAGTCAAGGGAACAAAGAGATGACACAGCCAGAAAGCAAGCGTCACTGTGCAAGCACTTGTCACTCTGCTCCTCGTTACATCCTGCCGCCTCGTTCCATCCTGTTGGCTGGAGCAGGTAGCACAGGCAGCCTTGCCTCGATGCGGAGTACCGCCCAGTGGCTTGGGATCCGGGGCAGGAACCACTGTGGCTGTTGGGCAATTGTCCACATTAAGGGCTACATTCTGTTGTCCCGTCTCTCAAGTCTCTGACTCGGGAACAGTATCTCTGCTGACATTTTTTAAATCCCCAGATTCGGCTGACTTTCCCGATACAAGTAATAAGTTTGTGTCCCACGTGGGAACTCTAGTCGTGTACATCGGGGTGTGGATTTGCTCCGGCCTGAGACATGGAGGAGAGAGCCGGTAAATTCGGGGGTGCTGGTGAGCCAGGCCGGTGAGGAAACCGCTGGTTTCCAGTTAGGAAGCCAGAAGGCCTGTTGCTCCTTGGAGTACGTGCCCAGGTGGCTCTGAGAAGCCTCTTCCTTGATAGCCATGTAGTGCTTGGCATGGAGTGGATACTCAGTATTTTGCATTTAGTAGAATCGAATCAGCCAAGAGCAAACCAAACAGCCCAAGAGAGTGGGTCATAACACTCACCCTCATCACCTCAGATGATCCTAATGGCCTCCCAAAGGCCCCATCTCCACATCCCATCACAGTGGGGGTCAGGGCTTCGGCACAGGAATTGGGGTGGGATGGAGGAAGGCACAAACGTTCAGCCCAAAACCGGCCTCTCCTCCTAAAAGCATCTCCCTAATTTTGACAACTGCAGGAGTAAGCGACTTGATTCGCTGTCGACTGAATTCTTGTGTTGAAGCAGCCCCGTTACCATGGAACTCCCCGCACCTGCCAGTGTGCGTGTGCTGACTCAGCCTCACGAGGAGAGTTAGGATGTTCTGCCTCCACGTGGCACAGCATGTTGTCTTTTCAAAGGACTCGTCTGCACACTCCATGCATCTTCCAACCGTGCAGGACAGGGCAGTTCGGGGTCTTCTCCTCTGCAGAGGAAGAAAAGGAAGTAGCCACGCTGCTTTCTCAAGAGCACGGTGGGTTTGTCAGTGAGCCGCGGAACCCGGGGCCTGTCTGGGGCTGTGTGTGCAACGTGCTTCAGATACACACAAACCTGGAGCGTAACGTGCCATCCTCAGCACGATGCCTCAGATGGACGTTTGAAGTCTGTCTTGGGGTTGAACCCCAAGGTAGTGAGAGGGTTTTAATACCCATGAGGAATGAGCACTTGTGTTCTGATTATGACAGGGTCACACGTGGAAGAGATTAGACTGACTTGAAGCAATGGAAAGAAGTAGAAGGGAGCCTGGTTCCATCCTAACGAAAAAGAATTTCTCACACTTCGTACTGTTTCTGAGAAAGGTGGTAGTGATCTCCCCACCCCCAGAAGCATACAACAGCTTGTAGCTATTGTAGTGGAGATCCAAGCAGGGGATGGAGTATGGATTAGATACCTTTAGAGTCTCTGTTCCCCTTGAGAACCCACAGAATTCCATTCATGATTTCGGGAATAAGCCAGCCCAACCCTCTGTTCTCCAGGCCCATTGACTAAGAGGCACATGCCGGAATTGAGGTGGCTTTTGAAAGCTCCGATTCCCCGGCACTCTTCACACACAGAGTTGCCTCAAACTTCCCAAGAGCTCTCTGCTGCAGTAACACTTGCAATGAGGACATCAGGTTTTCACTCCGTAGCAGACGTTCAGCACCGTGCACCACTGTTCCTCCCTGCATGTGCCCCAGGAAACCCCTCAGAGGACAGCCTCACCCCTAAAGCCCATAAGCTGCTTAGCTGAATGTCCCCACACACCACCCCCACGAGCCGGCGCACGGCGTGGTTTTGGGGAGAGGAAACGGCATGTAGCTCCATCTCCCTGGACTGACTCCAGAGACACAAGTCATGCCAGAGCTGGTAGTGCCCAGACATTGAGAATTCATAGACCCAGTTTCCAAAAGAGATGTAGAAGGTTGGCTGCTTTTTTGGGGGGCGGGGGGGGAGGTGGAGAGTCAAGTAAGAATATTTTCTAAACTACTGTCTACTCCCATCTTTATTTTCTTTTTTTAAAAAGGACCCTTCATCCTGCTTAACAGCTACATTCTGAAATACTTATGGGTCAAGTGTGATGTCTGCAGTTTACTCTCGAATGGCCAAAAAGGAAAAAAATGATAGAGGTAGATGAGCACACGCGGCAAAATGTTCACTGTCGAATCTCGACGTCGACTGTGGGGCTGTTTCTTGTGTTATTTCAACTTTACTATTCTAAAATCTGTAACAACTTTTAGAAAATGCAAAACTACTGACAAGCGGAAGCCTGAGTTTGGGGGCATTGGTGGAGGAGGTGACGGACACGGGTGCAGGAAACTTTGGGGGAGACGGAAGCGTTCTACGCCTCGATCGCAGTAATGGTTAAACTCATCAACGTGAACACTGAAAATGAATAAATTTAGTTGTTTGTAAACTATGTCTCAGTAAAGATAGGAAGGAAGAAGACATATGAATATCAAAAAAACGAGAACCTCATAACCTTAGTAGGAAGGCGCCACCTGTTATACTGAAAACGTGTGGTTCTGCTTAAAAACACAGTAGCGCCTCCATTTTCCTCATTTCTCTACCGAGCAGAGAAGACTTCATCAGAGACCGTGTTTCTGGAAACCACGAGGCCTGGCATCCAGTGCCCAGGCTGGCAGGTTAGCGACAGATCTGCCCCCGTCGACCGCCTGGGGCTGATACCCCTGCAGGAGAACAGGGTTCCAGGAGCTCCCACGGCCACGAACTGGTCCTGGGTCCTGCAGCCACAGCTCAGGGCAGCGCCTTGGATGGGGACACGAAAAGAAGCGCCCTAGGCATTTGTTTTTCTCTTATTTTCGTATTTTTAAGGGAAAAATTGGATAGTCTTTTAAATTGATAACCATGTTATACATTTACTTTTCTTGGTGAGCAGTCAATGATCATCAGAGACAATTTTTAAATCACAGGCAAAAATACTTTAAAAACAAAACCTAAATTTCCACCATACAGACTGCCTGTGTTAGCTGCTTAGCGTGTATCTTGGCCGATTGTACATGTGATGGGTATCAAAATATGCATGCATGTGTGTGTGCATATATGTAAATATACACACGTGTGTGCCTACATGCACACACACTGCAAACTCTGATCATACCACATGTACCATCCAATGGCCACCTTGATTTGGTCACAATCTCTACCTTCCTGTTCCAGAAATTTCCATTCCCATCTTACCTGTCACCCAGATCATATTCGATTTTCCCGCTGCACCCCAAATGGCTCATACCTCCTGTTTGTCCATTTTTGCAGCTAATCTGGGGCCAAACATTACAGCTGAGGTTGAGTCCCATAAGTATCTTTTTATCGGTTCACCCCTTTTCTATGACATTGACTTATGAAACTCACCAGCTACTTTTCTGGACTCACCCGGTAGCTTTCTTGTGGGTCGTTTAGCTTATTCCTCTATTCTTGGTATTTCCCATAAACTAAAAGTCTTGTCTAAAGGCTTGATGGATTCAGTTACCCCAAGGTGACACGTCACAGCTGGTTGACATCTGATGACATCACATCTGATGACTACCATGGAAAACTGACAGGACTTGTGACGTAATAGGACGTGGGGTGGAAGAGAGGGACCTGTCTAGTTCGGCTTCAGAGTACAGGGGTTCATCTGGAGGTTGACGTTTCTCCTTGACCTTTTTGCTCATGTCCCTGCCTCCCAGCTTGCACTAGCTGCTTGCTGAGTTTAATAAACTGTGTTGAGCACCAGAAAATCCCCTGTCCTGTGAATGGATAATCAGTCTATTTCCAGAACCCAAAGAGGGTTAGGATAAAAAGCAGCTTTCCTTTGGCGAGTGTCCCTCCTGCCACGCCTTCTCCACTCCAGCCAGTGCGAGGGCTCCCACGCCCCAGCCCCTCCGGAAGGAGCCCCTCGCCTAATGCTCAAAACTGCTGAAACGGCCAGCTCTCCCATCTCAACACTAATCCAGTTTCTACTCTGCTCCTCAGATGGGATTTGGCTTGAGACGTTGAGACCTGGGTGCTCCGCCCCCCTCGGATTCCCTACAAAGTCCCACACACTCAGCCAGAGGCCTCGCCAGGGTCATCTGGGTAGACAGCAGGGGCTGGCTGCCACTCCAAAGGGCACAGGGACCTCCCCTCAGCTCCCGGCCCATCCAGCTGGTGGCACAAGGTATGTGACCGCCCTCACACAAGCCACCTCAGAAACTCCGGGCAGGCACAGGGAGGAGCAAGGGTCTGGGTGACGGGCACTTTCACGTAGTCAGTCTGTCCCCGCTTCACCTTTTCTGTGTAGTTTCCATGGACTTTGCTCGTTAAGGAAACCTGGAGTGCACTGAACCCCAGACAGCTAAGGTGGCCTCTTCATTGTCCGTACAGCGGGGGGCACGAAAGCCCCGCTGAGTGCGGATGTCTGAACAGAACTTGTGGAGATTTACAGTTTTTTGATATTTGGGAAGTGGTTTGTTGTGGTTTTCGGGAACTTCTTCTATTTTAATTGCCATAGGACATCATCATGACAGAATTTTAAATTCAGCCTGGCTAAGTGTGTCAGCACCACAGGTTAGAAAGTAAAGCCTTCTCGTTGGAATCTAGCTGGGCTTCCTGGTAAGATTTACTAAGTTATCAAGAAAAATAAAACACACCTTTTTTAAAAATAGCACACCACGGTGCAATACAAACCAGACAAAGACTGTATTTAATCAAATATGGATAGTGAGGCAGGTAAAAGGACGTGTCTGACAGGTGCACAGCATCTCATGAGTAGGTGTTATGCCCAGAATGTTCTCGACTTTATATTTAGGATCGTTTTACCTGTCCCCAGTCCTAACACCTGACGTACATCCCACGGTGGAAGAAGCTGCCAGGGACAGATAAGATGGCAGCCAGTAAGTCGACACCAAACCAAGTCATCTTCAAGAAGATCTCCCGGGACAAATCGGTAAGTGGTACAGAAGTGAGTGGCTTGATGGAAATGTTTGTTTGGTTGGTTGTTTACTAAAAGCTTTTTCAAGAATAGATATGATCAATACCAAGACCATGTGCGGTTGAGGGAAGCTCGAACCTGTCGTACTTGGCAGAGGTGATGCCAGTGTTGGCACTGTCGGAGGCATATTAAATGGTCTAGAAGTGCCCGTGAACTTCCTGGCATGGAGCCAGGGAGGGTCCACCCCACAGCCTCTGTGGATAGGGTCTCTTTGCTCTATTTGATGGCTTCTTGGGGGCTGACAATCTAGCTCAGAACCATCAAAGCAAACCATTATATTTTAATTAAAATTTGTTTCCAGTAGTAAATATTAAAAAAGCAAGAAAAAACAGGTGGAATTTATTTTAATATCGTATCTTATTTAACCCAATATATCCCAAAAGACGATCATTTCAACATGCAAATGACATAAAAATTATTGATGATATATTTTACATTCATTTTTTAGTTTAAAATCTGGTGTGTAGTCTACTCTTATAATACATGTCAATTTGGAATGGTCATATTTCAAGTGTCCAGTAGCCACCTGTAACTAGTGACAACTATATTAGACAGCGTGGATCTAGATCATCCTTCTAGTTGGCTTCTGAAGCCACACGAGAGAATCGGACTTGGCCCGGGCCCTGTCCATCCTCCCCTCTCCTCGCTGAGGAAATCCATCATTTTCACCAAGTATTCCGAATCTTTGGGACAGCAAGTTGGGTACCCACTCAATCTCTTCTCCACGTTCTTTTCGGACTTGCGTCTTTCCAGCGTATTTTATCTTGACTTCTGGAAGAGGAAGAGAGAACCCACTCCCGCTGGGCCATATCGTTTTCCCACTTTTTAATTCCTCACACCCAACGGACATCCTTTGAACCAAGAAATTTAGGATTTTGTTATATATAGGAGGAAAGATAATTCATCGATTAATGTCTCACATATTAGGATCATTCCAACTGCAACCTCTGTATGACTCCAGACATGGCGCACGGGGGCTCTGGAGCCATTTCTCTGTGATTCTTTCCCTCCTCTGCGATCTTCATCTTCCAGCTGGAGGCAAATGGCTGCCCCAGCCCAGATGTCTCATCCTCTTTTCCTTCCAGAAAAAGGAAGAGGCTGTTGCTTCCTGGGGTCTCTTCTTAAGAGTGAGAAAATACTTTCCCAGCAGACTCTTCTCCTATCTCATTGGCCAAAACTGGGTCACATGCCTGCCCTAAACCAATCCTGAGCCAAAAGGAATGAATGATCATAATTGAATCCAGCCACTCAAGAAGAATCATCCTCTGGAGCTGGCCTCCTCTTAGCACACGGCCACATAGAGGATGGAGGACATGACATTTAGTGACTTTTATCCCGGAAGCAGGAGCACGTGGCTGTTGGGTGGGCAAGCAGCAGGTGGGCTGTGGTCTCACGTGGTTCAGCCCCACCTCTCGACCTGCCCCTGGGCTTTCCCTTCCCTTCCAGTGCAGTAGAAGAAGTACCTTTGCTCCCACCTGAGGTTCATGCTACTCGCACCCTAGGCGTCACGGTCCACCACCTCCTCCGAGTCCTCCACGCTCATCCCCCCTCCTGGGCTGTATCCACGGCCTCTTCCTTTCGACCAGGACTTTGCCTGAGCACACAAACAAGAAGAGACATCTTGCACCAACTGCCCTTGACTCTGGGCCCTTTCTGGCTCTCCTTCCTTCACAGCCAAAGCGTGAAAACAAGAACAATCTCACTGTCTTCACCTACCTTCTCTCACTCACTCTTCAGTCTCCCCGCTCCCAGCCACATCAGCCGCCTGCCTGGCTTTCTGCTCGCCACTCCATCCTCCACTCTGCTGCTAACGGGACCGCAGTCTCGGCCTTCTCCTCTATAAAATGGGGTTAGTTCCTACCTTATAGAGGAGTTTTGGGGATTCAATGAAATCGTGTAGCCACGGTGCTTAGCTTGGTACCCGCTACATGATAAACGCTCCAAGGGCTCTTTAATTGCAGGTCTTTCATCCCGCTTAAAATTCTTTGATGTCTTCCTGAGTTCTTTAGGGTCAGATCCTCTAAGACCCTTTCTGGCACTAGCTTGTATCCCCCGTTTGGTGGCCATTCACCTGCAGAGGAAACCATTAGGAGTTTCAGAAGCATCCTCTTGGCTCTGAGCTTTGTATACAGTGATTTATTTTTGCCCAGAAAGCAAGCCCCTCACCATCAACCCCCTGACTGCCATCCCAGTCACCTGGCTATGCTGTTCTTCAGGTGCTTTAACGTCAATAAAACAAATAACCTAGATGGCACTCGGATTCACTGCAGGACACCTGATGGAGGGGGTAGATACAGGAAATGATTTAATGCCAACAGAAATGATTTTGGGTATTCACAGATATAAAAATAGGAATTTAAGAGGCTTAGAAAAGAAGGGGGCTAGCCCAGGGTACGTGCCCTTACTGGGGTACTTAGCAAGGGTTGATTGAATTTCTGTTACGTAGCAGTTACTGTCGTAGATAGTGTGGTGGCTGAAAGATGAATGAGTGACAGAATTTTTGCCGTCAAGGCGCTCACAGCTCTGTGGGTTACAGTGGTGAGTGAAGGCGAACCAACCCATGCTCTCCCACAAAGGGGGTGGGCAAAGAGACCTTGCTACCGGGGGCATGGAAAAGGGACCAGGACCAAGATACTGGTCATCTCCCCGCCAGCCAGCCCCACCCTCCCCTGTTCCTCAGAGTATGGGTTGATTTACCTGTACAGAAGCTCATCTGGTAGGATTTTAAGGACTAATTTTGAACTCCCAGCTCTTTGCTCAGTCTATAAATTCCTTTAACTAGGAGGGGAAAGCTTTCATTCACAGGTAGAAATTAAAGGCTTACCATGCAAATACGTGGGAGAGGCTTCATTTGCATAGGTATAACCTTCCACTAAAGTATTACCAGTTACTTCAACACATTTACCTGATTAATATCGGACCTAGGCTTGATGGGAAAACATGGGGATAACAGGGACCATCCAAACAGGTGGAAGAATTCCTTGGAGCAGGTGTCCGAGGGGCAGGAAAGAGCACACCTTGCCTGTAATCCATCTGCTCCACCCACAGCCCGACAGGGGAGAGGAGGTGATGGACAGCTTGCCCCTCTTCCCAAGACTAATCAAAATGTTTTGGTTGTTGCTGATTTTTAACATGAAGGCCTTTGGCCACTTAGAATCCGTACCTGTTCCTCCCACAGGTGACCATCTACCTGGGGAAGAGAGATTACATAGACCACGTGGATCAAGTAGAGCCTGTGGGTGAGTGGAGTTTGGAATACAGTTTTCATGCTGGTTTTCCTTTACATCATTGGACAACTGCTAGTTTTGTATTTTTAAAAATTGGCTCCGTTAATAATCTAATCAAAGAAATGCCAATGAAAACATCAGTGAGGTGCCACTTTCTGATAGGAAACAAGATAAAGTAGTGTGGGGGACACAAAGGACTCATTTCTAGAATCTGTAAAGAACACTCAAAGCTCAACAGTAGAAGAAAAACAAAATCCAGTTAGAAAATAGACAAAAGACACAAAGGGGCATTTCATCAAAGAAGAAATACATATGGATGGCAAATAAGCCCATGGAAAAATGTTCAATATTATTAGTCATTAATGAAATGCAAATTAAAACGACAACGAAATATCATTCTACACCTGTCAGAATGGCTAAAATAAAAAACAGTGGCAGTACCAAACACTGGTGAGAATGCAGAGAAGCTGGATCACTCATACATGGCTGGTGGGACTGTAAAATGGAACAGCCACTCTAGAAAATGGTTTGGCAGTTTCGTAAAAAAACTAAACATACACTTACTATATGACCCAGCAGTTGCATTCCTGGGCATTTATTTATCCCAGGGAAATGAAAACTATGTCCATTCTAAAACCTGTACGTGTTGGTTCATAGAAACTTTATTTGTAATAGCTCCGAACTGGGAAGAACCAAAATGTCTCTCAGTGGGTGGAGCCAGTTAAACAAGCTGTGGCACATCCATGCCACGGAATTCTACTGGGCAATAAAAAAGAATGAATGACTGATACACGCAACAGCTTGGACCTCCAGGGCCTTATGCTGAGTGGAAAAAGACAGTCTCGAAAGGCCATGTACTGTATGAGTCCATTTATACAGCGTTCTTGAGATGAGAAAAATACAGAAATGGGAAGCCGATTCACAGTTGCCAGGGGCTAAGGGTGATGGGAGTGTGACTATAAATGCAAAGCCCTAGAAAGATCTCGATGGCAAGGGAACAGTTCTGTCCCCAGATTGCAATGTAGGTTACACAAACTTCCATGTGTGATAAAATGACTTAGAACTCTACACACATTGTACCCATGTCAGCTTCCCGGTTTTGATATTGTACTGTAATTATCTAAGATGTAACCACTGGGAGAAACTAGATAATAGACACGGGGACCTCTCTGTCCTGTCTTTGCCACTTCCTGTGACTCTATAATTTCAACTCAAATCGTTATTTTTAAAAAAAGGAGTGTACAAAACTGGCATTTTTAGGCACTGAGGATGAGCGTGTCCTCAGCAAAACTCTTTCTGGAAGGTCGTTTGGCAGTATGTTATTAAAAGCCAAATCCAGTTCTGCTGTGGGTAGATGTGAAGATGTTCATTGCAATATTGTAACGGGGAAATCGGAAACAATCTAAATCCCCTGACCAGAAAGGGTTAACTAAATAATTTATGCTATATTCATGCATGAGAGCAGTGTGTAGCCATTCAAATGATTAGTACATATTATATATATATATTTGTGTGTGTGTGAATAGATGTTTACAATATAGTTGATTGAGGAATATGTTATATACTATGATAACTACAGAATAGTTAATAGTATATAAGTAAGATCTCTTTTTTTTTAAGAAAAACATTCGTGCACTAATTCCTTGACAGTGAGTATCTCTGGGTGGTGGAAATCTAGGTGACTTTTTCTCTTTACTTAATTTTCCTTGCCGATTTTCCGATAATGAACATGGATTGCAGGTGCAGTTAACAAACTGCATATGCATATAGTTTATATATTTGTATAAGTAATACACAATTATGTGTTTTAAAATATGTATATGTTTGTATCAATACTACATACAGTCTATCGAAAAGGCCTCTGGGCTCCTTCGTCTCCCCGCCCCGCTCACCGTTCTCTCTTTTGGTGTAGACGGCGTCGTGTTGGTGGATCCGGAGCTTGTGATTTTTTTGGCTTCCTGGTCTCGTCCAGGCTGGGGCTGGGAAGAGAGCATCCACGTGGGCGGGAGCCCGGGAGCCGCTGGCACTCTGCTGCACACACATTCACCTCCAGGCCCCGTCACCCACGGCCCCATGTATAACCCTGAGGGTGCGGGTTCTGTTCTCAGCAGAACTCACTGTCCCCACTTCTCAGATGAGATGAGGACTCAGGGAAGCCACGTGACTGTGACTGGGGTGGCAGGATAAATGAAGGGTGAACAGAGCCCCCTATCTGTCCGCTCTATCGACTGTGCACGTGTCCCTGTCCCCATGTCGTGGAGTTCTTTGCCAGGAGCAACCGCGGGAGGGTCCTTGGTGGCTTGATCCAATATGGGGGAATGGAGCCTGCTGGAAGGCAGAACCGTCTGATGCTTACTACTATGGTGGTTCCAAACCTCAGGGTCACAGTGCCCTTGATGACCTCTGGTGACTGGGATGTGTGTGGCAGTGATGTGGTGCTGGTAAAAAGCTCATCAACTTAATTAGAGCAGATTCAAGTCATCCTTGTGATAATCTCACAGACTCGGTTGCATTCTAAAGATGCCTTTTTGTGCGGTTGCTACTAGCAACCCCTGGAATTGTCCCTAACCCTGGTTGTGCCCACGGGAGTAAGTCAGACGTGGGGTAGTCTGCATTGAGGGGGCCTGGCAGAAAAGGGGCTGAATATCGCCCCCTTCTGCCGTCTCTACCCTCCTCAAGGTGTCCAACAGGGGTAGCCTAGCTTGAGCCTTGACCGCTGTCACCCTCGGCCTCATGGGGGATGGGCGCCTGCTCTGAGGGGAGGCACTGCCTGGAGAGGGAAGTGCAGCCGGGTCACTTCTGGGCATGTCCCTCGGACAAACACCAGATGACAGATGATGGTTAGGCAAGCCATTAGTGTCTCTTCTGAGCTTAGCGGCAAGGGTCAGTCGTCCTTGGGGCAGACACAGACAGAATCCTCAACCAGCACCTGCTGAGAAGTTGGGGACTGCTTCTGTATGCTTTGTGTTCCAGGATAATGTGCTTCGTGTGGCTTTATTTACCCCATTAAAGAAAGTATGTAAACAGTTCATCCTCAAGGCATGTACATTCACGTAATTCTTTTGGTCCACTGGGGGCACAATTTACATCTTTTTCATTAAACTGAGTTCCCAGAAGTGACGATTCAGAGAACGCATGTCTCTGAGCGGCGCGGGGAGGCTTTCCTCTTGGATTTGATTCCCCCCTCCGCTCGGTCCACAAGACCCTTTCGGCTCCTCTCGCAGACCTCGCATCCGGCTCCGGCACAGCCCCGCTTCCTCCCTGGCACTGTTGCCCTCTGCCTCTCACCTTCACCCTCAGCGCCATCCAGACATCCTGCCCTTAGAACCCAAGTGACCTGCACTGTGCAAAAGCCTCCCGAAGTCGCTGAGCTGCTGGGTCGAGAGGAGGGGGTGTGGGATGGAGAGAACACAGTGGTCAGGTGGCAAAATAACGCTCTTCACAGGATGTGCCTCCCAGCCTCTGCCGGGCGCCTGTGGAGTATTAACGCACGCCCCACGGGGGGTGCTGTTTCCCCAGATATGTGTGGCCTGGCTGGGTGCTATGGTTCTCAGACCCCATCCCCTCCAGATGCTAGAGGTCCTGCCCTGCGACCTGCAGTTCAGTGGGCGCCCCGTGCTCACGTGATTGACAGCCAAGCCCACCCTCTCGTCTCCCATCCAGTGTTTGTCTCTGTGACCTGCGCCTTCCGCTACGGCCAGGAGGACATCGACGTGATCGGCCTGAGCTTCCGCAGGGACCTGTACTTCTCGAGGGTCCAGGTGTTCCCGCCTGTGGGGGCTGCAACCACCTCCACGAAACTGCAGGAGACCCTGATGAAGAAGCTGGGGGACAACACGTACCCCTTTCTGCTCACAGTGAGTGACCCCTCTCCCTTGCCCTGGTCCCTTCACCCACAGCACCTTGTAATGTGACCAGGAGTAAAGGAAAGGGGACAGAGGGATGACTTCACATTTGTGAGCCCTCAAATTGTACCCTTGGAGGAAATTCTAGATGGCACGGGCTGTGATTGTCCTTTTTTAAGTCCTTGAAAATAGCCTCTGAGCCTTTTGAAGGCACTGGTTGAACCTACGGTTTAAATATTTCCCTTCATCCGACCACCTAATTACACGCGCATGTCATTCCTTCAGTCACTTGTCTATAAAAAGAAAGGCATCCCGAGGACTTCTAAACAGAAAAGTTCCCAAAAGAACTTTCCGCCGGTCACGCTAGAGAAATCACTTCCTCTCTCTCAAAGCCTCGTTTCCCCTGGGGAAACCTGGCCACCCACAGGCCTGCCCCGTGCCCTCTGCGACCTGGTGTGAACTCGACATGGGGGAGGCTGCTGTGGCCCTCTCTGTTAGCACATTTATGTGTCTTAAGATTATAGACTTCTCCAAAGGTACATGGTTCAGCCCTTTAGGACGGAAATTCTGAAGCGCACTCCAACATGGACAAACCTTGAAAGCATCATGCGAAACGAAAGGAGCCAGTCACAAAAGAACAAATATTGTATGATTCTACTCGCATGAGGTCCCGAGAGTAGTCAGACCCATAGAGATGGAAGAGAGGATAGAGCTTACCAGGGGCTGGAGGAGGGGGAGTTAGCGTGTAATGGGACAGAGCTTCGGTGTGGGAGAAAGTTCTGGAGACAGTGGGTGGGGACTTGTGCAGAACACGTGAATGTGCTTGATGCTGCGAGACTGTACTCTTTAAACCGATAAGTCTTATGTATATTTTACCACAGCTGTTTTTAAAAATCACTTTAGAAAGTCTTGTGGTCCTGGGTGCTCCCATTCAGTGGTGCTGGGAGCAGGAAGAGACATAACCTTCTAGAGACCCCACGTCGGTGTGTACTCAAAACCGGGAAACACGATCTTGCCCGACAGTTCCCTTTCTAGCATGAGTTGAGTAACACCGTGCCGCACGGTCGGTCGTGGCAAAGGAGCGAGGGCCAGCCAGCGGCAGAGCCGGGTGAACGACGTGGGGTGTCGCAGAAGCCCTGCCGCTGACTCGTGGCGGGGAACGTCATCTCACTGCCTCCCGAGTAGGGTCAGGCTTAAGGCCAGTGACGCGGGCAAAGCAGATGACAGGACACGTGCAGCACATGGTGCCATTTCTGAAAGACACCTAAACACATCTACCGTTCGTGCGTCTGGGTGTTCGCAGGACACTGGGGTGGTTACGTCGACGACGTTATTCTGTGCGTTGGAAACAGGCACGAACACGTTTTTCCTTTGGCTGGCTCCTCGTCTTCATTTTCTAGTTTTTGCACGGTAAGAGTGTATCACGCATGGAATAACCCGCCACCCCCACCCCCGAAAGAAATGATTTGTTGTTTCTTTCCACAGTTTCCTGACTACTTACCCTGCTCGGTCATGCTGCAGCCTGCTCCGCAGGATACAGGCAAGGTTGGTGCAAGAAGAAACGCCATGCATTCATTCATTCATTCCCTCAAGTGACTTTGAAAAACAGCCTTTTACCACGGAAAATTCCAAACATACACAGAAGTAGAGAGACAGTCTAATGAGCCTATCACTTGTCTTCAGCAAGTATTAACCACGAGCAACGCTTTGAACAAAATGGCACCGTGCCCCACCTCGTGAGCCTTGCGGGTTTATGGAGAGAAACGGGCAAAGAGCGAGTAACGAGTAGCCACGGGCACATCCCAGGATGGCGGGCACTATGGAGAGCTGGAGGCCGTGAGAGGCAGAGGGAGAGTGGTGCGGGCTTGTTCAGGATGCCGAGGGAGGGCCTCTCTGCTGAGGGGACATCACACGGTGTCAGGGGGCAGCGAGGAGGCTGTGTGCTGGGGTGGGAGGGGCAGGTCAGAGGCGTGAGGGAGGTGCAGCCAGGTCACGGCCGCATAGACCATCACGGGGATGTCTGCGTGAGGCGGGGACCACGGCAGGGCTCTGAACAATAGGTTCTGACTGAGGTCCCCCGAGGACTGCTCTGGCGGCTGTGCCGAACGTGGGGCGACGCTGGCTGAGCAGGAGCTCCGAACAGGCAGAGAGGCGAAGGGGCTGTGGGGTGGGGGGGGGGAGCAAGCCAGAGATTACAGGCCGAAGAAGAGTCGGTGTCAGGGATCCACGACAGAGGGAGCAAAACAGACGCCAAGTGAGGGCAGGGAGTGGAAGAAAGTTCTGGCAGGCCTGCAGTTGCCTTGTGGACGGCTGCGGTGACGGACAGGTCAGGGGCAGTGAGTTTCCCCGTGGGGGTCGCGCCCTATCAGAAGTTTGCGAAATCAGTGCAGCAGATCAGAAGTGGCAGGTAAGGAAGGTGGGATGGGAGGAAATGGATGAGAAAGGGCGGTTTCGGGGCGCCTCGCACAGCAGGCTCGGCGGTAGTTCATAGCTGTTTCACACACGCCTGTCTGTTTGCTGGGCCACATTACTTCTCAGCTTGGGCGGTAAAACGTTTGAAAGCCACTGGTCCAGGGAAACAGGTGTGGAAGCCGAGAGGGAGGAAGTAGAGGTCCCTAAATCAGAGTGGGGAGACACGGGTGCCAGCCAAACAAAGTGCCACCCTTTCGTCTGTCGCAGGAGAAGAGGGTATCAGAGCTAAGTATGAGCTGAGCCCAGGGAGGCCTGGGAGCGGGTGTCTGCACGCCCGGGGGCCTGGGAGCCAGACAGCTGAGGAGACCTTTGAGCTGGTGAGGGGCCTGGCTCTTGCAGGGAGTGGCACACAGTATGGGTGGGGGGGCCCCTGGGGGAGCTTGGCTAAGGATTCCAGGGCGAAGGCGATAATGAGATGTATTTATTTTCAACCTAGATTTTAGAATTGCTGCAATTCCAAACT